GCTTTGGACATCCCGAACATGTTCTCATATTGGTGGTTCGCCTGGGCGACCTGGACACGCGAAAACCAAAGTTTCGCCCGAGACAGCCTCAACACATCCTCACGTTAGAGGTCCGCCTGGGCGACCTGGAACAAGCGTGAAAGCACGTGGGCCGCATCCGACCCATAGCGGAGCAATCGTGAAAGCACTTGAGTCCCTTGCGCCACAAGGCGAAACCAGCATGACGACACGTGGGTCCCTTTCGCTCCAGAGCGGAACAAGCGTGAAAACACGTAGGTCCCCTTCGCCGCAGGAGGCCCCCCCCCCAGAGGTCGCAGGAGGCCTCCCCAGGGACCCAGGACGGAGCATGTCAAGTTATGATACATCGGGTGTTGGTTCGTTAATATTTTATCGCTCGTGTGACCCCCCCAATTCTGTAGGGCCAGACGACAACATGTTAGATATCCCCCCTGGGTGGCCCGGACACATGAAAACACGTGGGTCCCTTTCGTCTCAAAGCGGAACAAGTGTGAAAGCACGTGCGTCCCATTCGCGCCAGAGCGGGACAAGCGTGAAGGAACAAGCGTGAAAGCACATGGATCCTTGCCGCGCCAGACCAAGACAAGCGTGAAAACACTTGGGTCGTTTTCGCCCCAGGGCGGCAAAAACGTGAAAACACGTGGATCCTTTTCGCGCCAGACCGGAGCAAACGTGAAAGCACGTGGGTCCCTTTCGCGCCAGAGCGGAACAGGCGTGAAAGCACGTGGGCCCCTTTCGCGCCAGAGCGGAACAAGCGTGAAAACACGTGGGTCCCTCTCGCTCCAGCGCGGAACAAAGCGTGAAAACACGTGGGTAACTTTCGCCACGGAGCGGAACAAACGTGAACACATACGGTTTCAGCTCGGGCAGCCACGTTAGATACTCCCCTTGATGGACTGGACAAGCGTAAAAAACAACATGTGTTTCGAGCGAGCGGCCTCCATCTTAGATACCCCTCTGGGTGGCCTGGGCAGATGAAAACATGTGGTTCCAGCGAGGGGCAAGTGGCAACCATCTTAAATACCTCCCTGGGTGGCCTGGACACGTGAAATCACGTGGCTCCACCTGAATTAAAACAACCATGTTAGATACCCCATCTGGGCGACCTGGGCATGTTAAAACAAGCATGTCGCCTGAGACATCCCCTGAATTGTGCCCCCCGCTCGAGACATCCCCCAACTCTGCAAAACCAGTGTTTCGCCTGACACATCCTCGACACATTTGTATAAAACAAGCATTTCGCCTGAGACATCCTCAATGTTGATCGCAAAGGAAATTCGCTGGCCCTACGCACGTGAAGGCCTGGCACATGGTTTCCCATACTAATGTAGAGACCTGGGGCTCCGCCCTGGAAAAAAAAACAAAGCGTCACAAGAGGGCTCCAAGAGCGCCTGCAGAGGCGCCCCCAGAGGCACAATCATTGATTGCCCGATGGTTTCGTACGGAGTTTCGCATTCTCGGTTTTATGGGCTTTCGATGCCCAAAGACGGCCCGAGAGGCCCCGAACATCGCCCCAGGACGGGCCAAGAGGGCACCAAGAGGGCCCCAAGAAAGCACCAAGACAGCCCAAGAGGCCACCAAGACGGCCCAGAAGGGCCCCAAGATGTCCTGAAGAACCCGAATTGACATTTCAAGCCCTCCACACCTGAAAGGGCCCCCGAGACCGCCAGCAGACGCACAAGAGGCACCCAAGAGTCCCCTCAAGACCCCCAAGAGGCCCCAAAAGAGGCCCCGAAGAGGCCCAAAGAGGCTTCAAACTTGCCTGTAAGAGGCTGCCGCGCGGCCTCCCAACAGACCCCGATCTGCATCCAAGGGGCCTCTAACCCACGAGCCAGGCACGGTGGCGAACTGGGCCCAGGGCCACTGGACTATACCCTCCGGGACCGCCAGCACGCCCCCAGGAGACCCCACGAGACTTCAGAACATGCTCCCGAGAGGCTCCCGAGAGTCCCCCCAAGAGACCCCAACAGGCCTCCGAGAGCCCGCGGCCTTCCTCGGGCCTCTCTCCGAATCCCCTATGCAGGGTCGGCGGAACCAACCGTAAGGCCCCTCGCCAAGGTTCCCGCTGGCTTGCCAGCTTCGGCTCATTGGGCGCGGGGGGGCACGGTCGAAGAGTTTAGAATGCTGCCCTGGATTTTCGAGCGGCGCGCGAGGACGATGGGCCAAGCTCGGGCTCGTCTCCAGAGGCTGCTGTGGGAATGAGACCTGGGCGCGTTGTGGGCAGAGACTTCGCCCAACGCAACCATCACACAGTAATTGCGGCGAGGGCTGGGGGTGAGTGCAGTTTCTTCTCCTCTTCCTCCTCCACCTCCTCCTCCTCCTCCTCCCTCCCTCCCTCCCTCCCTCCATCCCTCCCTCCCTCCCCCCCTCCCTCCCTCTCCTCCCTCCCTCCTCCCTCCTCCCTCCTCCCCTCCTCCCTCCTCCCTCCTCCCTCCTCCCTCCTCCCTTCTCCTCCCTCCCTCCTCCTCCTCCTCCCTCCTCC